AAAAAAAAAACTCAACTTAATTTTACTCGAGCCGAGTCCGAGCCTCTAATTTCGGCTAGCGAACCAACTCGACTCAGCTTGTTCACATCCTTAGCCATACCAAACTTGACCTAAATGCTAAATGGGAAGAAATATTTTCGATAGTACATTTAAAGGGTGTTTGAGCCCCATTTTTATGAAAAAAATGTGTTTCGGAATAGTAAATTGATGGAGAATGTGTGGTTGAAAAATACGGAAATTTTTTTTATTTACGTGGAATATTATTTTAATGAAAAAATGTGTGATTGAAAATAAAAGAAAAATAGAAATCAAACAGGGCCTTATAACCTGTAAGTTAATACGAAGGTCCATAACCATAGCTAGAGGGAACCATGTGGAAAAATATTCCCAATATTTTCGAAATTTCATCTCCATGGCAGCAATAATGCTGTAAAAATTTTACAATCTCTATATTTACTAAAAAAATTTAAAATTTTAAAAAAGTAAAGAGTTAGAACAATAGGAGAAATGGGGATAGTACATACCCATGCACGCATTGAGGGATCGAAGAAAACCTTCAAAAGTTTTATTATCTCAAAAATAATTAATTGATCTTTAGATTTTAAATCATAATTAGAACCATTTGAATGCCTACCCTTATAAAAATTAGTAATAGTCGTATCATAATTAACACAAAATTATAGCATGAGACACGTAGATTCCACCTATTATCTATATCCGTTGCAAATATCACATACTATGTACCAAAACTTATCAATGTAATGAATTGTAACATAAATATATTATCCAAGATTTTCTCAGACCACAGATCACAGAAGTGAATAAAATGACACTGCTATAACTTCTTAAATCATCAGTAATTTGTGCTTTTTTAAATCTGTATAAAGTTATAGCATCATTAAGATATGTACCTCTACTAATATATTTGTACCTCGATCAAAAATATGTTTGTACATGAATGCATCTTCTAACTGCGTCAGTGTCACTGTCTTGTGCCCATTAAAATAATTATTCAGCAGCCTCTTGTTTGTCGGAATACGGGCTCTCGCTGCTTCTTCGTCCGTACATCTCAATTCGGTGATGATAGCAAACTCGAATATGAAAAATGTAGCAACCTTGTCCTCAAGATCAAAATGGATGGCACCTCCGTCAACTGGCTTAAGCAGTCGACATAGTAATGAATTGAGCAACTGCCCAGAAAACTATGCAAAACGCAGCAAACACAGGGGCTTTCGTCAAGTGTACGCTTTTTAGTGTGGATAATGACTGCTCAGCATAGATTATAAATATTATCAAGCATTTTCCACTTTGTTTCTGGATTGTGAGCCTTGTCTACACGAACTGTCACAAAAGGTCTTTATTTGTCTCTACTAAGTTGAAGCTTAACATGTCTACTGTTGACAAACCCAATATAAACAAGATATTTCTTTGTAGAGATACACTCAATGGTTTTCGGTTCGATGGTATTAGTATTTTCGATTTGGGATATAGCAGATTTGAAAAAAACCATAGACAGGATTATTGAAACTACCAAAGAATTGTTAACATTCTTGTTGGTGTTTATGAATCTAATGTAATCCATAATGAATTTTATAGAAAATATAAGAATAAAAACTACAATTGATTGAAATATATAATAAAAATAAATTTGGAATTGAAGAAATATTTGGAGACAAAAGAACTTTGTATAGTAGTCACCAAATTTTACTATTAAAAGTCACTAGAGTGGTATATTAGTGATGTTGTAAAAAATTATGAAATGTACGAAAATTGATTTACCACTCGCTCCTATTTATAGACCGCTTATTAAATTTTAAAAAAAAAATTAATTTGAATTGGGAGTTTGGGTGCCTAATTTGATGGCACCCTAACGCAATCTACATGACTACAAAATTTATCCATGCAGATTATACAACGAGACAAGGTAACTTGTATGATCATGATTTTATCTTTTTGACTTGTGCTACCGGTTCACCTTCGGCATGAGCCGAGTCACGCAAGTCAATGAACGACTTGCCCCATTTAACATTCCTCCACCCTTGATACTTTGCAACGAAAATGAAAGTTTGTCTTCTACCATCTTGATCTTTTTTATATAAGTAACAAAATGAGCAGAATTGTTTAAAGAAACTTAAAGACAAACAAAAGATCTTCACTCTTCAATGGTTGAATGATAAATCAGCAACCGTAAAAAGAGGATATGATTGTATGTATTCGAGGTAGATTTAGGTTGTGAAGAGTCGCTGAAGCCTGAAGGAGATAACGATGATGGGCTGAGCCAACTCAAGTAGTAATTAGAGAAAATTTCATAAGTAAGAGATTAAGTATGACATATTTCAAATTTAATAAATTTCAAACTTCAAAAATCAGATTTTTATTAAAATTTATTTATGATTTAATTAATTAATTAATTATATTTATGTCACATATCTATACAATTTAGTCCCAAATTAACAATTTAATTAATCACTTATTATTTTTTTGTCACAAATAAGAAATTTTATGTCTAAAATTATTTTACGATCACAATTCAAAAATTTTGTAGGTCATAATTTGTTCATCGATCACAAATCAAAATATTAATTAATTACAGATTAATTTTTAGTCTCAACTTATCAAATTATTGGTCACAAATTATTTTCCGATCACAAATCAAAAATTTTATAGGTCACATATTATTTTCCGATCATGAATAAAAAAATTCATAGGTCACAGATCACAAATATTATATTTCAAAACTTATTAGACAGTCACAAATTATTAATTTTTTATGTCACATATTATCTCTTGGTCATAATTTATCTTTTTCATTGGTTACAGATTAACCAATTTACTGATCACAATCAACCAAATAATCTGTGACCACCACCAACACTTACGACCACCATTTCAACGTTGCCTCCAATAGCACCACCACCATCACCGCCAAAACCACGACCACAGTGACCACAATTTTCAATCGACCAATAAAACCGTCACAAACCCTCACGCCCAAAACCGCCACCACATAAACACCACCCAACATCGCCACCTCACAAACACCACCACCACCACCACACAAAACACCATCAACACACCCAATTTCAGAACCTATACCAGTGGCTGTAACCAACAAAACCGTCACCCAAACTACCAACAACATCAACGCCACCACCACAACCACCGACAAACCCTCAGATATGACGTTTTAAACATCTATTTAATTAATTTGCGGCAAGGGTGCTTGCAAGAATGGGGTCAACACTGCTGTCAGATTTGGGAGATCGCGATCCCGATGTGTGCACCTCATGCAGTGGTTCCTTTCTTTCGATTGTGAATGTCTCGTCGGAACACGCCAAGGGTTTACTCTTTGGGAAGCAAAAATGGCAACAATGGTTGATCAAGGAAGAAGAATTGCAACGGCTGAACAACACAGCTTCCTGCTGCAGCGGCCGAAGAATGACAAAATGAGGCGTCTTCACAACAATGGCGAGAGGGCTGCGTTGTCACCAGAGAAGAGAAATTGAGGGGGAGAGAGAGAGAGAGAGAGAGAGAGACGAGCAAAGTAGAGGAAAGGGATGGGTAGTGACAGCTGGGTAGTGGGGGTAAGGTTTTTATTTTTTTGATAATTAGTTTATTTAAATAATTAATAAAAAAATCTGATTTATGAAATATAAAACTTCTTACCTGATTTGGAAATTTTGAATACTTAGACTATGGTTTTGGGTAATTTCCACTTTAATTTAAAGCAAATCAGTAACTTCCTACTTTAAAGTTTAAACTAACACAACTGATCTTCTTGGGATGGTTCTCACTTCTCAGAATGGTAGGATGAATAGCATGATTACGATCAGAAGAAACACCGTAGACCAAATATATTAGGAAGGTTGAGGACAAATCTAGAGCTTAAGAATATGGTTTACGACCAAAGGCCAAAGATAAGCAAACTATACTATCTGATCGTTCGTCTCTTACGACCAACGGCCTGAGATGCCATCAAAGCGATCTTCAGTGGCTCAGATGCTTGGAACCCCTGAGCTTCCATCAACCCTTGAATCCTTCGAGCATCTTGTAAAAATCCACCAGCTAAAAGTGAATTTATAACCCTCTCGAATTCTTTGGGCCTCAATTGATCCTTCTTCGACTCCAGAACTCCCAAAGCTTGAAGAGCCTTCCTCTCAGACCCAGCCCTCGAATACATGTCACAAAGGCTTATATGCACCTGGAGTGGAGCCGCCTCCCCTTGCATTGCAATCTTATCCAATATCTGTTCTGCTTCATCGACTAGCAGCAATTTGGCCAACCAGTCAACCAGAACTGTATAAGTAGCAATTCCAGGCTCGAAACCGTCCTTCTCGAGCTCGAGTAGAAGATCTAAAGCTTTATCCAAAAAATTCTTCTTTCCATAAGCTGCAATCATGCTAGCAGTGCATCTGTCATCCGGTTTGTGCCCCAGTTTCATCATGTAATCAAAATTATGCCGAGCCTGATCAGGATCACCATCTTGACCAAAGGTCTCGACGAGTAACGTACAGGATTCCAAACTTGGTTGGAAACCAGCAAACTGCATGGTGGAAGAAATTCGTAGGGCTCCGTTAACATCAACACGCTGGGCAAAGGATTGAAGCAAGGCCATAAATATCTCCTTTGTGGGTTTCATGTCCCTTGCTTCCATTTCTCTCATCAATGACTCGCCCATCTTTGGTTGCCCGGCATTTACATAGGCCATGATCATAGAAATGTACACCTTCATGTCTGGTTGGAATCCATGACTCCTCAAGTTTTCAAATGCTTCTTTTGCTCGATCAAGATTTCCCGATTTACTGTACATGCTTACCATAATAGTTGATGTTAGAATATCAGGTAGAATACCATTTTCATTCATCTTCTTGAGAATTCTTTCAGCATCTTCTAAGCAATTTTCTCGAGCACATCCATCGATCAGTTTAGAATAGTCACGTATGTTGGTCTGGAAGGACTCTTCACTGAGTAGAAATTCTGCAATCTAAAACAAATCATTGAACAATGGTCATGCCAGGATCGAAACACAGAAAAGTTATCCTCTGACAAGTAACTGCATGCATCAAGACCACAAAATACTTGATGTCGGAGTGGAAAAAGAAAGTGTTTGCAATTTTATGGTGTTCATTGCTGAGGAAAAGGTTCACAGAAATAAAAAATTAGCTAACAGAAATTACTTCATTAAATTTTCCCAGATGTTATCAATTAACTAACAATCTTCTAATCATGTTTCTAATCTCCTAATGTGTTTATAATAAGAATTATGTAGCTAATGAGTTGAGTTCTTTAATTCACGCAGCTCATCTAGTGCCATTCAAATGTCAGCAATGGCACAACGCTTTGATCCTTAGAATCCTGAAATATTTCAACAGCAATCAGAAATATCTTCAATACCATAGAGCACATATGCAACGGTGGCAGTTTTCAGATTGCAAGTGGACATAAACATCCTTACGGAGAATGGGGTGACATATAGGTTTGAGAGAATAATCTACGTACTTTATCTTCCCGAGATTGAATGTCTCTGTTTTACCACTCTAGCTTACATCATACAACACTTCATGCATAAAATTTTAAGTCCTTTAACTGTGATAGTGTCTCAAAGGAATTTGCAATTCTATGTGATATGGATGGTTAAAAAAGAATAAACAAATATCCATGTTTTTCATCTGTTCATTACTTGATGTCAATTCAGTGGTTAACAATTTATCTCAACACAACCAATGAAAAAAAACACAGGTATATCTTGGCTATTTAATAAGGAGGCAGATGCCATAGTATATTTGAATCAAACTAACACTATAAACCCAGATTAAAAAATTATGCTAAATAACAGGGAAAACCAGAATACAGACAATGTTGCGCCAAACTAACATTACATAATCATGCAAGTATAGGGAAAACTGCTGAATAAAAGATCAAAAGAAAATCTCTTCTACGGTGCAAATATATATTTGACAAGAATTTAGATGGGAATTGGGTGAAGTGGTGTACCTTAAAGTATACACGAGATCTCTGTTCTTTCAATCTGTCAAGAAGATTAATCCAGTCAATCCTGCTGGGCTGAAGAAGCTCCTTCCATTCAGCTAAAAGTGGAGCAGGATCATCATCCTCTTGTAATGAGAGGATTTTATCATCAACAAGTTCGCACTTCCCTGATATTTGCTTTGGCTCCTGAGGCCAAATAGCTTCTCCACTCTCATGAATTTTATCAGCAGCCTCAGCCCATGTAGGATCAGACAAATCAAGTCCATAAATCTTGTACTTAATCTTCCCATGTCGTTTGGGAAGCTCGACAACATTAGGCTTCTCTTCAGCCTCATTATTATTGTCCTTCATACCCCGTACTTCACCCATGAATTCTGTTTTTAGTGGCTCTTGTTGGGCTTCAGTTTGGGATTCCATTTTTCGAAGCTTTTCCAAACTCTGATAAAACTCACTTTCCTCCATCTTCTCCCTTGCCCATTTAAATCTGAGCTCTCTCAACATATCCCCACGTATACCAACTTCACCGGCAAACCTGCACATGTCCTTAACTTCCTCAGACTGAAGAAAACCCTTCATTTTCTCCTTCTTCCTTTCTTTCTCCATATCTTCCAAAACCACATGGCTAACCTCCCACACTGTTCTCCAAAGATCCTCACTGAAATCCTGAGAAGGTGCGGATGAAGAAGCCTCAACCATCTGCTCAAAACTACCTCTTTCCATTTCTGACACAACCTTTCGAACAATAATCAAAAGCATCCCATCAATGGTTTTCTTATCACAGTCAGTATATGCTTCAGAAAGCTTCTGCCTCATTCTCCAAACGAACCTGGACAGGAACTCATTTGTGGTCGCATTATCATCTGACTCAGTTTCTAAATCAATATATGAGTGATTTAGTTGGGCAGTGTGAAAAAGTCTACCAAAATGTGAATTTGATTTAGGGCTGCAGACTATATAAAATCCACCACAACTTTCTGGTGAACAAATCGAAGGGGATGTGCGGGAGGCAATGATTGCACAATGTCTATGGTAACCAAGGGATCGAGGAAACACTCTACCATTGAGTTTTGATATATTATTGATAGTCTGTCTTGAAAAGAAGTGCCTCAGATTCATGTCTATCTCTATGTATACGTGCTATAGTGGACCCGCAGCAACAGCTAAATTCAGGTTTTACAAGCTAAATCCAAGTCACTTCAGCAAAGGCTTCAAAAAATAGCAGATTAAACTACAGATAACACTGATCTGCAGATCCTTTCTACCACTTTGATACAAAATTCAGAGAACTACACATCTCATTCTATACCCCCTAAAACTGCCTTAACCTGGAAATGAAAAGGAAATTATGAACTAATTCAAAACCATTTCTTGAAAAAAATTTATTAGAACATGAAACACAAATGGAAATGCTAGCAATTTCGTTAATAGACGCCGTCATTCTTGATTAAACAAAGAGCCCACTATGTAAGTTAACAGCAATTGAATTTTAGACAATACCCAGAAATCTAAGATGGAAATTACTCATATTTTGCAAACTGGGATGTTAAAACAGCATAAAACCAACTATCATCGAAATTTCGAACAAATTAAAAAATCACATTCACAAAAAAAATAATAAATAATAAATAATAAATAAATAAATAATGACAAAAGTAAAACTAATCTCTGTGCGAACAAGTGCGAGAGAGAGATTTACCTGCAAATAAAGAGAGAGAATGGTAAAAGGAAATCCAGTGGGATGAAACCCTAATAGAACCGTTTTAAAACTGGACCGGGTTCTGAGTTTTCTTGGCACGAACCGTTTTTAATTTTTAATAGCTATTCTCGTTTCATCGCGAAAAAAACGTAGTTAGTCGATTCTCTCTTGTACCGTACTTGGTATATGAAGATAAATCTACATCTGATAAAGTTACATAGTTGATGAAATTATTTAATTGTAATGTTTAATTTTATTGAGTCGAGCATTTGCGTTTAGTTTCGAAAATTGTAATTTGTGATTATTGTTTAGTTTTTCATTTTTTTCTCTCTCGAGAAGTAGGATTTTAAGCCATCAAATATAGTGTATTCATATTGTTCTTTATTTTTCTTCGTCATTTACTGGAAAGTACGGTTTCAATATTTCCCATACGTAATCCTTTGTATAGACGTTGTGACGATATTAATTTTGGGACTTAATTTAGTTCTTTTAGTGTATTTGGTTGTTTTTGTGTTAATTTCAACTAGTTAATTACTTATTTCTTGTTTTTATTCGTGATTTATTGTTAAATTTTAACTTCGTATTTCATTTTTTTTAATTTTGTCTTGAAACAAAAATACAAAATAGATATCGTTGACCAATAAATAAATTTTCACAAAAAGTATCAAGTTGGACAACTAACATGTACAAATTACATCACATCAGCATACAGTGAATCAAATAAGTCACTTCATTCGTTTGGATGAGTTTATTTTAGAGATTAACAGTTAAATATATTGAATGACTAAATATTGATGTCTCACCTATACATATTCGTCAAAGATCACCGACGAGAATGTTGACACTACCCAAGGGAAGTCATTGGTTTTAAAAATTATTCTTCGCTCTTCCTATTTTTAATTTTTCATAAGGTACTCACAAATAAGTTAAAATATTTATCTATTTTTATAATAATATGAACTTATGAATTATATTTTAATTTTATATTTTGTTCTTGGCAAAATTTTCTATTAGTATATAATTTTTATATTTTGTTACTTATTTATGGGCAAAAATTTCTTTGGTAAATTTTGTTAAACTATTTATGTGTTTAATTACTAAATGAAAATTATACTTAATCATTAAGTAATTTTAAATATTTTTAATTATAGAAAAATTCATGAAAAAAATAAAGGCAAAAACTACCTAACTTGCCTAATTAATAGTGGAAATTACACAAAACTATTGTTTAAGTATTCAAAATTCCTAAATCAAGTAGGAAGTTTTATATTTCATAAATCAGATTTTTTTTAATTATTTAAATAAACTAATTACCAAAAAAATAAAAACCCTACACCCACTATCCTGCCGTCACTACCCATCGCTTCCCTCTCCCTTGCTCATCTCTCTCTCTACCCCACAATTTCTCTTCTCCGTTGACAACGCAGCCCTCTTGCCACTGCTGTGAAGACGCCTCATTTTGCCATTCTCCTGCCGCTGCAGCAAGAAGCTACGTTTTTGCCTTTATCTGGCCGCTGCAATTCTTCTTCCTCGATCAACCATTGTTGCCGTTTTTGCTTCCCAAAGAATAAGCCCCGCACGTGTTCTAGCGAGACATTCACAATTGAAAGAGAGGAACCACTGCATAAGGTGCGCGCATCGGATCGCGATCTACGTCCCCAAATCTGACAACAGCGTCAACCCCATTCTTGTCGGAACCCTTGCCGAAAATTAATTAAATAGATGTTTAGAACGCCATATCTGAGGGTTTGATGGTGGTTGTGGTGGTGGCATTGTTTTAGTTGGTGGTTTGGGCGACGGTTTTGTTGGTCACAACTACTAATATAGGCTTTGAAATTGGGTGTGTTGATGGTGTTTTGTGTGGTGTTGTGTGGTGGTGATGGTGATGGTGATGGTGTTTGTGAGGTAGCGGTGTCGGGTGGTGTTTATGTGTTGGCAATTTTAGATGGTGTTTATGTGGTGGCAGTTTTGGACGTGGGTGTTTGTGATGATTTTATTGGTGGATTGAAAGTTGTGGCCAATGTGGTCGTGATTTTGGAGGTGATGGTGGTGCTGTTGGAGATAGCGTTAAAGTGGTGGTCGTAAGTGTTGGTGGTCATAGATTATTTGGTTGATTGTGACCAGTGAATTGGTTAATCTGTGACCAATAAACAATATGTGACCAATGAAAAAGATAAATTGTGACATAAAAAATTAATAATTTGTGACTGCCTAATAAGTTTTGAAATATAATATTTGTGATTTGTGACCTATGAATTATTTTATTCGTAATCGAAAAATAATATGTGACCTATAAAATTTTTTATTTGTGATAGGAAAACAAGTTGTGACCAATAATTTGATAAGTTGTGACTAAAAATTAATCCGTGACTAATTAATTTTTTTTGATTTGCGATCGATGAACAAACTGTGACCTACAAAATTTTTGAATTGTGATCGTAAAATAATTTGTGACATAAAATTTCTTATTTGTGACCAACAAATAATAAGTGATTAATTAAATTGTTAATTTGTGACCAAATTGAATAGATATGTGACTTAAATATATTTAATTAATAAATTAATTCATAATTAAATTTTAATAAAAATATAATTTTTAAAGTTTGAAACTTGTTTTCTTAATTTTGAAATATGTCATATTACTTATGAAACTTTCCCTAAATTAAATGTGTTAAGATTCAGCCTATTAGATGCATTTTTTATCATACCTTATTATTAATTATTTTTTGTTGGGGCTAAATATGTTCACACCAATTTTTTTAATATTTAGACTATATGAAAAGGTCCATAACCTTTATATACTATACATTTATATTTCAAATGTTTTTCATCGCATTCTTATTCCCAAATTAAAATAAATTGATCATAATTATGATTTATTTCCAAAATTTTCTTTAAGACAGTAAAAACAATCATTTGCGCATTATGTTTTTAAATAAACCAAATAATCACATGCTACGTGTAAGCCGTATAGGACGACTGCAAATAGCATTATTCTTTGGAGTTATTTGCATTACTTGAATGTGAATTAAATGAATAAGTAATCATTGGAAATACAATTGAACATTATATTAAAATGAACTTTTGGACTTGACTTTAACATAAATTTTCCCCTTTACATTAAAAAAATTTCGTATCTGCATTATTTCAAAATAAAAATTAAAAAAAATCATAATTTACTATGTTATATTATTAAAATAAAAAATACTAGATAACATATGAAATATGTTTACTTATATTTCCTTAGAAAAATAGACCATAAACCACATTCTCTAACTAGTCAGTTTTGAATTCAACCTATTTCATGCTCTCCATTAATGTTATTTCTCAAAATTGAATAAGCAATTCAAAATATGATGGTGCCCAAAAAGACAAAAACAATAATTGTTAGTATATTTCAAATATTTATTAAAAAATAAGTGTGTGACATATTTTCTCTTTTACATTGCACTGTATTTGGGTTGGAACATGCCTGAACTATATCACCTATTGGCCTTGGCCTTGAAGTCCTTTATAGAACATTTAAGCCCACAACCCCTAAAAAAAGATTCTTTTTGCTAGGGTTAGAGACTTGAGAAGAAGAGAAGAGACACATTGAATTTATCTCTACAAATTCGTCGGGCTCTCGCCGTCGTTGAAGGAGCCGAAGAAGGAAGAGGCCGTCATCACCGTTGAAATTGTCAAATATTGATATTGGAACTAGAAATAGGATATTATAAGATCGTTTCACTTTCTATAAAACTAGTTGACGAAATTCTATATGTTTCTAGAGCGCCAAAGAACAAAATGTGCTTCAATTGATGGTGGTTCTCTTATTTGCCATATAATTGATGCTCAGGTATGTTCTTGATATTAAAAAATAAAAAAATAAATTCATATTTTTCCCTTGTTTAGTAGTTGATTATTTGAACTTGAAGATGATTTAACAGTTGTGTCTTTGGTTACACAGAATGACTACAAAAAAATTCCTTCCAATAGTTATATTTCAGGTTTTTTATCGAAGATTTTGTTGGAAAATAATTAGTTGAGATAATTTGCAGATTAGTAAAATGCAATAAGTAAAATTTATTGACTGATCGAGTCTCGTAGCAGCATGATATTTTAAAGTGAAATCACTTGTCATAGCTTATCACAAATGATTTTAGAACTCTCAATAGAACCCTAAAAAAAAAATTAAAAAATTATCAAGTATGAAGAATCACAGCATATAAAAATGATATTTCATTTTTCGATATATATTTCCAAATAGCATATATGTAGTTATATAACTACAAAAGTCTTAATTGTCTCGGGTTGTCAATAACGGCCCAATAGTAATATTACTGTCTAGTGTGACCAGCAAATAAATAAATTTTAAAATTATTAAAATAAACAAAAAAATATTATTTTAATCAAGGAAATCTAACCCAAAGTCCAATCATAGACTTTGGTACTTAATGTTGAGTAAGTTTAATCAACAGTAAATTACCACCACAAAATTTACTTATTACACCACATTATGCCCTCGTTTGGCTCCCATTAATTTCATTACATAGCATTTTATTTTTCTCTCTCATATTTTCAACCACACAATCTTCTATAAAATAATGTTACATGTAAATCGAAATTTTTTTTTCTTTTTCAACTACTCATTTTTAAAAAAAATACTATTCCATCCATTTACATTTTTAGAAAATGGAGGTCAAACAGGGGCTATATTCACACTACAATTAAAACAAGGTATTTGAAGTTTCAAATTTAAAGTACAGGTGTGAAATTTATTTAATAAAAAATCAGGTATTAATTGAATATTTTATTAATCAATTAATTCAATTCCAAACCCTAATTCACTCCATTCTCTCTCTACTCTATCCCCTTTCTCTCTACCTTCTCTCTATCGGGATTGGCTTTGCTAAATCTGACCGGGACAAATTCTAATGTCATGACTAGCGTCGGTGCAAGACGAACTCGATGCCACAACAAGCGCCAATGCCGCGACATGTGTCGATCTGAGAGAAGCTCCGGTGACTCTTCACGAAGCTCGTGTGTGTCAGTGACGGGCAAAGAATCGACCACCGACCATCGTGCGTGATGCCCCAGCACCTTACCATCGTAAGCAGTGACGTGCGGTTGATTAGAGTTGGTGTGGGGATGGCCCATCACGAAGCTCGTCGTCTCTCTCTCCCCTCATTTTTTGCATCTGTTTTTCTAGTTGGTGTGCTGGTACGGTGGTTTTAAGGATTTTTTGCGCTGTGGTTTGATTGAGGTTGGATGGTTTCTATGGGTGCTGTAGCATTGGAAGAAATTGTGGACTTTAGCAGGCAGTGGTTGTGGTTATGCGGTGGTTATTAGAGTTGCAAGTGGAGGTGGTGGATGGTGTTTGAGCAGGCGGTTGTGGTGGTGGCAGTAGTGATGTGTGATAGTCATGGTGGTGGTGATCGAAAGAAATGGTGGAATTTAGTAGGCAGTGTTCGTGTTTGCTAAGGTCAATTGATGAAAGTGAATCAAGTTGTGTGCTGCTATTGGGTGCGGTCGTAGTGTGCAGTGATGGTGTGCTGTGATCTATGGTGGTGGTGCTAAGGTTGTGTTGTTAGATGGTAGTTGGTTGGATGTGGTGATGGTGGATGTGTGCACTGTAGGTGCTATGGTGTTGGCGGCATGGTGGCGCTGCTAATGTGCAGTGGTTGGATGCATCGTGGTGGTATGCATTGCCTGTGTGGTTGGATGTGATTTTGGTGGAGGTATGCGCTGTGGGTGTGATGAGTTGTGCGTTGCCAAAAATTTGATTTTGTGGTGGTTGTAGAGTAGTTTTGATTTTGTGTTTTGCTAGTGGTAGTGGTGCTGGCTTTGGCGATGAGGTTGCCGTGGTTATTGTGGTGCCAATTTTGGGCTGCAGTGGTGGTGAGGTTGCGATGGTGTGGTGCAAGCAGTGGTTGTGTGAGATTGATGATGGATTGGGACCGATGGTGGGGATGTTTGGTGCATGTGATAAATTATTTGGACTAATTATTAATCTATGACCTTAAAATTCGATAATATGTGGCTAAAAAAATAATCCGTGACCAATAAATTTAAAAATTTGTGATCCATAGATAAACTGTGACTGTAATTTGAATGATCCATGACTTTGAAAAAATTCGTGACTTACAAAATTTATGATTTGTGACCATGAAATAATCTGTGTCTAATTAATTTGATAATATGTGACCAGTAAATAAATTTGTGACTTATAATTATGAATTTGTGACCATTAATCGTATAATTGTGACTTTATTATATTTATTTAATAAATTTTTTAATTAATTAAATATATACTTGAATTTTGAATTTTCAAACTATCTACATGATTTTTGAATTGGTGTAAATAATATAACTGAATTTTGAATTTTTCCTTTAATATATCTACTCAAGCTGAAGGAATTAAAAGGAGGCGGCCACATTATACATTGATATATCTCACAGGTAGAAGAGGACGGCAGAACATGCAAAGTGGAAAAAAAGGGTTGGCTGTTGGTGAAAATTACAAATAGATGGCATCACTGTTCGGCGACAATTGATGAGAAAACACGGCTGAATGTGCTAAACAAGGCTGCTGAATCTGCTATAAAAAGAAACAACCATTCTATACGTACCCTTTTTTTCACAACACACACATGTAAGTGAGTGGGGTCCACGATTAAAATAATCGTGGACCCCATCTTTATGAAAAGAGTGTGAAAATTGATGTGAAAAAAGTGACGTACAAATAGCAATTTTGATAAAAAGAAAGGGTTGTCTGTTGTTTGATGCATGCAAAAAGTCGCCAGTACTTGAATTGATTATGTATAAACACGCAAACCCAAAAAAAGAAGAAGAAGACATTCACAAAAGTGGTGGCAGCTTTGGAAAGTGGAATTAATTTTCAATCTTTGTTCAATAATTTATCAACAATTGGGTTGTAATTAGTCACGTTTCGTCAATTTTTGGTGATGTTTTTTTTATCTTTTTTGTGCTTAATTTCGACAATATGATTGGCTAAATTTTTAGTTTGCTAGAATGTGATGAATAATTATTACGACTTTTTTGGTTTGAATAATTAAATTGACTTTAATTTGTTTAATTGTTTGAATGTTTATTATGATTTAATTTTCTTTTCAATTATTTGGTCAATAATTGAATTGTTTGTGTATTTTATTGTCATCAAGAGAGATAATAAAATCATTAGCACGTAGTAATAAATATTGTGAGGCTCGATAAATGATAGAGATATACCTCTATACTTCATATGATTTTTAGCTCGTTTAATACATTTATCATGTTCGCATCTTTCATCGAAAGATAAGAAGGTCACATGAGGGGAATATATTTGATAACTATCGAGAGATGTTTTCAATTAAACACTACAACAAAAATCATCATTTGCGACACATAAAAGGCAACACTTGGTAGTTAAGTATTGCTAAAGGGGCTTACCGCAACATTTTAATAAGCGAATGTTGCTATTAATTAACAAAATTGAGCTTTGGCAACATTTTGTAAATAGATGTTGCTAATGTCGACTTTCGCAACATTTATTAAATATTGTGAAAAGTTTCAGTTTTTGCAACATTTGTTAAATGGTGCGAAATGTTAATTTTATAGCAACATTTAATGAACGTTGCTAAAACTCACTTTTTGCTACGTTCGTTGGCCGTTGCAAAAAGTGCACCTTTCACAATCTTTATTGAACGTTGCGAAAAGTCGCAAAAAGTAAAATCTTCTGAACTTTTTGCAACGTTCAATAAATGTTGCGAAAACATTAAAATCGCCCGACTCGACCCAATCCGACCCGCTTAGTTTAAAGAAAAAAACTCTAAAGTTCAATTCAAGAGAAATTCACTTACGAGACTCAACATCCCGAACCTATCTTCTATGTCTCTCTCACACCCACAGTCCCACGGCGCGGCCTCTCTCATTTTCTCACCAAATCGCCAATATTGCCCAACGTCGGTAGCCGATTTTCCATGGTCAAGGGTCATCGGTAAGTCCTCTCTTAATTTCATGCTTCTTCCATTGATTTTCATTTGGTTGACTGGTTCTTTCCAAACGTACTTTGAGTATTCTTTATTTTGTCTGCACAGTTTCAATTGGATAATCTCGCGGTCTTGTATCTTCATAGGTTATGTGGCGACTGAAGACCCAGAAGAATTTTTAGAAAAAGAAAGAAATAATTTCAGAGGAAGAGAGAAATTTAGAGAAAGAATGATTTAGATTTGAATTGTGGCGACCGAAGACCCAGAAGAACAGGCGCGCAATAGTCGTCTCTAGTATTTCTTTCATCGTTTTGGGCAAGTCTTGGAGGGGTTTTTGGCAGTCAGAATAACGGTCAAGAAGAAAAAGAAGAAGACTTAGAAATGGCTTCAAAAGCTGTTGTTCAAGAACAACCCAGTGGCAACAATAGTAAATGAAAATAATCCAATTTTATAACACCGATCATAGTTTGGACTGATTTTTGAAGGGATTATTGATCAATTTTGGGATGCACTCTTTTTCTTTCTTTAAGTTGATCAATTACTACTGCAGACCAATCAGACGAAAAGATTAATATCAATTAAGTTAGGTTATTTAAGTATTATATGATAAGGATAGCATTGCAAGATTAACTGACCCTTCTTAGTTGATATTGGATAAGTGGTGTCATTCTATTATGTGGTGGGAGTTTGAGTAAAGTGTTTCATTCTTAGAGTTGCAGCAGGCATATTGGGACGGTTGATTAATGAGTATTTTAGTGTTTTTAGTGTTTCATCAATCTGCTCAAGTTGGGATGAGTATTCTATTGTAACTTTTTTTTCTGGGAACATTATCTCTATCCTCTTTTTGATGGAAGAATGCATCTCTTTAGAAGTTCATGCTGTAAATGGAAGTCATTGTTGAATAATACTTCGCTCATCTCTCTTCTCACTTCATGTCTGTGAAATAGGTTGAGTAATACACTTAAATTTGGAGGCGGCTAAATTATCGGACATGGGATGGATGATTGTTGTGTTGTGGTTGAGGCTGAAAATCTGATTGTTATCGGTATATTTTGTGTTAGAGATTCCATTTATTGGCTTTCTTCTTGTTACACTTTTTTAACCAGATTTTGTAAATATAGAATTTAAATTTCAGTAATATGACATATATAAATTTGCTCAACATTCTATAACTTCGCTTTTTCTAGATTGGTTTTTCCACATTTGTTGTTATACATGGTGTTAACTAGAAGGAGAGTTGAAACAGGGTGAAGTAGGGGAAGTGTGGTAAGAGTTGAGAAGGGGAGGAAATGGCTGAGATTGCTACTGTCTGAAGTAGGGAGGTCAAAGTCACTAGAAGGAGTTTCTACTGTGCAGCAGCGGTAGTGCCAACCTGGGGAAGCATTGGCTGAATGGAGGTCTTCTTAGCACTAGTCAAGTGTAATCTCTGCACGATATTAGTCACATGTTATCTCTGCATTTTTGTCTTACACTACCTTGAGGTGTTCATCACATGAGAAATCAAGATGCTGGATTGAGAAGGAAAATCTGCAGACAGATGCAGGGATTGATACAGAAAAACTATTAACAAGCCTGAAGTGATTGAAATTATATTGCTCGTATTTATTGGAAGTTAGGGTGATTCTTTAACTCTTGTTATTTATTGACCTTTTTTACTTATGTAAGAAAGAAAAACATGCCTATATTTTTCTTTGCTTTTAGAATTTTGGATCTGGATTTTGTACAGATATTGTTACATTTTCAAGCTCAGTTAAGAATTATTATTGGAGTTATTTGAGATAGTTATTTTCTATTATGTTTTGTGGTTAATATACGTGAATCACTCTACAAAAAAAAGGACCTACGACAACATTTGTTCAACATTGCAAAAGAGAGGCTTTTGCAATGTTGAAGAAACGTTGCAAAAACTCTTCCCTCAAGGGCAACATCAATTTTCGCAACACGCGTCAAAATGTTGCAAAAGGTCTTTTGCAATGTTTTTTGGCCGTTACTAAAACCTTTTTTTGCTATAGTGAAAATAGGAACATTGACCAATAAACATGATTTCAAATTGTCAATTTAAATTGTCGAACTAAAAATGGATTAATAAGGGGATTCTACATCTTAACAATATTTCTTGCGAATTTGATAAGTTTTCTTTACATTGCTTTTAAGTTAGTTGATAGATTTAATAGTTTTTAGTTACCACTCGATTTTACTATTCGATTAAGAGTAGTGTGAGCTTAAACTTGATCAAACACATAGTTCTCGTGGGTTCGACACTCTATACACCACTTTATTACTTGTTTATGATCTCGTTCACTTGCGAGTAATCAAACGACCAGTCTCTATTTATAAAGAACATCTTATACATAATAGAAAACATCTTTAATTTAGATAGAAGTGTTTTATACATTCCAACAATACTATCCAGTTTTGCTCTTCATTTTGCTTTTTCAAGATACATTTATTGACTTCTCTCTATTTTTTATTTAATATAGTTATTTTATACATGAATGGCCAATCAATTTAAATATAATTTAAACAATTTAAAAGAAAAAATACTAAAATCTGTAACTTATTAAATGTAATAATTATAAAGTAAGGTTAAAATTTGATCAGTTTAAAATTCACATAAGATAGAATTGAATTTGTTAAGTAGAATTGAATTTGCTCGAGAAAGAGTTTCGAGCAGAATACACGTCAATTAATTGTCGTGGCTCTGTATTATAAATCAAGTCGGAGAATTAAAGTAAAATGGTGAGTCTTAGTACTCATTCTCATTTTAATCTCAAAATCAATCTTATCAATTATTTACTTAATCATAAAAGTTTTAGTCAAGAAATTAGAACTCTTAGTAATAAACTTTTGTAATGGTTATTTCGCTCAATGATAAATAAAAAAAGGTTCTCCTGGAAATTATAATCTGGTCTCAATAAATCCACCTTACAATGAAATTGATGATGTCGTATGCCTACTATTTTACCCGAATACTTATATAGAGGAAATTAATAATTTGTACAATACTACAATCTATGACAACTCCAACATCCCTCCTTTGTTATGATTATTTTGTTTCCTTAGTTGAAGATTTCACTGATTTCCATTTGTTTCCTAGTAATGACATCTTCCGTTATTCTTTAATTCTTCCGATTTGGCTCTCCCTTTTCCTTTTTCAAACTGAAAACAGTTACCCTATTTCAGTTATTTAATTAATATATTCAAAGTTTATTAAAAACTTGAAATTTTTTTGGAATCCAATTAATATCTAATGTAACCCATAAGGAACTTTACTCACTTATCGGACAAATTTAATTTAAAAAAAAAAAAAAAACAAGAAAACATGTATAAAATCAATAACAAAAATTATGCATGGGTGTGATCGCAAGAGAAACACAATTTGATGTTAATGATGTAAAAAGAAAATTACTTCTTTATTAACAGAATAAAAGGGAAATATAAGATAATCCCAAAGCAATTCATCTTGCTGACATTGAGAAAATTGCGCATCAAGAACACCTTATGAAGGGGGGAAAAAAAAAGAAAAGAAAAGGCGCCCCCTGGAACATAACTTAGTGGTACAAAGGACAGGAGTGAGGTAGTCTCAGCCTTACTGACAGCCGCAGTGTAAGGGTTCGATTCCTGGTGAACACCAGTGTACAGGCAAACTCTTGTTCTCTGATCTGATGGGGCACATTCCGCGATTTACTTTTCTCACGATACTCTAGGAGCTAGACGATGAGGGCCTTCAAGGTTGGAGTTCAATATTTAGAGAAAGAAAAAAAAAAAAAACAAATCATCCTAAGCTACTCTTATATAACATCACCAATCACCAGGTAGTAAAACACAAAATTTATGTCATTCTCTCACATGAAAGATACCAACTAAACATTATTTACCAGACCCAAAACTGACAACCTTATTGGGTACACAATCAACTCAAAACGGCAAATAGGACAATTTTCGCTTGTGTTTAGCCATTCGAAAATGCAATTGCTGTGGAAAACATGAGAACACGTCAGAGTTGAGACCAACGACTCTGCCGGAATCTCTTCTAAACAAACTGTACAAATCTCGACCTCGTCATTCTCATTCTTGTACGGGACTATCTTCTCTGACGGCCATAAAATTGTATCCATACTTACTGGATCAAATTCCATCAACTGTAAAGAACTTCCATCTCCATCATTACAATATAACTTTTTTAAATGAACCTCCAAGATCATCTCCCGGACCGTGGTATCTCTGGTTCGTGCATAGTAAATTAACTCATCGGCGATTTGTTCTTTAAAGTTCTGATTTCTTATGCTATAAATTTCGAGTTCTGACAGCAGAAGTTGTTTTAACTCATCATCAGCAGCCGCAAAATCGACACGAATGAGTTTTGTTTTTATCAACAATAGCTCTAGTCCTTGAGCTTCCACATAAAGATTGCCTTGATGATTTACCAAGTGTTTAATGATTTGAAAATTGAATCCCACTTCAGTATTTGTTGTTGATGAAGTGTCATTACCAACCTCTGGTTCTGGAAAATCCAGTTCACGTACGGATGCCCACCAATAGTAGGAGTCCATATTCAAGATTCAGTAAAAGGCTTAAAATCCAGTAGAGGGAGAGAGATTATTTATGGGAAAATCAATGAATATTGCGTGCGGATATAGTGAGAGAGAAAATTTATCTTCTGGGAAAACAATGAATTGATTATATACAGGTTTTGGAAATCTGAATTCGTGTGGAACTAGGATTTAAGATTACAGTTCTTTGGTAATTATAGATTCCTTCTGAATGTAAAATATGGAAACATTATTATAATGGGTTAAAATTACTTGTATATTTGTAAACGGCAAAACAAATATATGGACATGAGTTTAATATTTTGAGATAAAGTAATATTTTTTTCTATGCTAATTAGAATTAAAATTTATTTTGAAAATAGGACTCTAAAATGTGGTTTTTATTAACTCTAAAATACATTGAGGGCCTATCTGGTTACGATTCTAGATAGATTTTTAGAAAATTTTTGGCCATTATGGGCCCCACATCTGCAAGAAAAGTGGCCAGAAAAGGGGCAGCTGCAGCAGCCGCCTTTCAGAAATCATTTGAATTGTCAAAATTATCCTTGTGTCAGATAAAAAGAATAACAATGTAGGGACAAGATGGTATTTTCACCTAAATTACTATCTAACTGATTGGTGAAGTCAAAGTTTGCTACCATTGTTTGGGCCCCATTTATTGTAGCCAACAGATGAATTTTTGCTTATAATTCGACAAGAATTCCTCCCAGACAACACCTAAGGTTTAGTTGTGTTGTCGTTACGTGAATTCTTTGAGTTTTAAAGCTTTTAATTGAGGTTTATCCAAATTCACATAGAGATATAAAATTGACTTAGTTATGTAGAATCAATTTGAACACGAACCAAGACTTGTAACTATAAAGGAGAGGGAAAGGACAAAAGCAACGGTATATATTACAATTCAAAGGAAAAAAACAAAAAGAAAAGAAAAAGTGCTATCTGATTATTCATGGAAATTGCAAATGTTTTTTCTCTAAAAATTCTATTAAATTTTTTTCTATACCTATAGCATAACTGATCTTAAAATTCAACAATAATGTAACCTCAAAACATGACTAAGTGTGTGCTTGACCCCGATTATTTGAAGAAAATCAATTTCTTGAATAGCAAAAGTGGGGCCGTAAATGAATAAAATAAACTTGGGTGGAGAGTAATAATAATTTCCTTGTTATCTACCTTTTAAATATTGCTGCCCATTACTTGGTCACAAGATCAAATTGGCCCTCAATTCTGATGCAACGGGAAAATATGGGTTTTGCTAGAGTCACAGGGCCACTCTACATGCGCCCTCTATTCGTCCAGGGCTCATGTGACTGTGGACGAATAGCAAAATCAGGAAAATATTTGCATTGGAACTTCGATAATTAGGTCTATGGCAAGGTAGAAATGGTATTTGTCAAGCTATTTAACTAGTTTGAATTGTAGCATGCATATTCTAATTCAAGTTTCTCCTTTTCAAAGTATCATATTTTGAAAAATCTGATTAGTACTATCAAGACCAAGCACGGCTAGTCGGCCAACAGTCCTAATATTTTCAATAAATAAAAGTATAAGAGATATGCACCTTCGAGGGCAAGCACATCATTCTAAAGAGGAGAAATTGAAGCTAAGATCTAATGGGACTTCGGAGTGGGCAAGAGCAAGTTCCCAAAGGTTCTCTCCCTGTAGAGAACCAGCCTTCCTCGATTTTCAGAGATTATATTCATACCTAATTTCTCCTATGGCAAGGTAGAAATGATATTTGTCAAGCTATTTAACTAGTTTGAATTGTAGCATGCATATTCTAATTCAAGTTTCTCCTTTTCAAAGTATCATATTTTGAAAAATCTGATTAGTACTATCAAGACCAAGCACGGCTAGTCGGCCAACAGTCCTAATATTTTCAATAAATAAAAGTATAAGAGATATGCACCTTCGAGGGCAAGCACATCGTTCTAAAGAGGAGAAATTGAAGCTAAGATGTAATGGGACTTCGGAGTGGGCAAGAGCAAGTTCCCAAAGGTTCTCTCCCTGTAGAGAACCAGCCTTCCTCGATTTTCAGAGATTATATTCATACCTAATTTCTTCTATTAAATTATCACCATTTCTTTTCAAAAGAAAATCCTACATATACAGAATTTGACAAGGACAATTTATTAGAATAAATTTTAACCTACATCTTTTCCCTTTTTTTTTTTTTCCCAATTCCTAAGGATATTTTTTCTTTTTAAATATTTGTTATAATATTATATTTCAAATGGGTACGACCAAATTTGTGAAGCTCCTTTCTCCTTAACGTTCCGTCTTTCTCAATTATCATAGATTCTATTCATCATATTATTTGATAAATCAATATCACGACGTCATTTAACCACATAAATAATAAAAAACTCTTAATATATATAAGATGATCATTAAACAAAATTCAAAGCTTAACACTACATATAACTTAAAAGATACTGTTTCGCGCGGGTTAGTCGGTAACAATTAAAAGGGATCAGACGATTGTGTAAGGGACAAACCTCTTGAGACAAAGTTTCAAAAAGGGGTGTTCTTTTATTGGCGATGACTTTACAATTGGAAATTAAAAACAATGTGCCTTCAAGGGGCGCAAGCACACGAGTTACTGAAAGAAAAGTGTTTAAATCTAAAGCTAAGGAAATTAAAATTACATGTTCTCTGCTCGAGAGTTTTTTATTCGGTCCCTTGCTCTATGTTTTTTTCTCCCTTTTATACTTCATGGACGATCTCTTTGTGATCAACTGCCTAAAAACTGCTTGATCGTCCTATAACTGCCCACTTTCCTCGTAATGGCCAACTTGTCCTGAAAACTATCTTATTTAACTGCTGCCATTACTCTTCGTCGTTTAACCGTTTTCGATTGAATTTCTTGAATCGTGGAACGTGATGGAGCTGTTCTGATAACTGCTTTGATAACTGCACTTCTTGATAACCACAAGACTTTGGGAGACTTGAAAGTTCTGGCGAGAATATAGTAATAGCTCTGGGCGACTGTATGGCACTCCATTCGCTCAGATTCTGGGCAACTTGCAATCTTGGGAGATGGCATTACCACGTTCTTGGGCCTCCCTATTTGGGCCTTCATTTTGAGTTGTTTGATTGGGCTTCGTTCTTTAGGCTATCCGATTTGGGGATTCTCCAATTGGACTTCATTCCTTGGGCTATTCGATTTGGGCTGAATTTTTATGTGTCAACAATTACCCCCCAATATGACAGAATTAATAATAATTATTAAATTTTGCCATATTCACTTTGTGTTTCCAGCAACTTTCGAGAGTTCCAAGAATTTCAATCATTATTTCCTTTCATAACTTTGAAAAGGTGCGTCGTTTTGCAAACCCTTATAACCCCCAAACACGCCATTTCACCGCACTATTAAATCACACCTCAATTTTTCACGTCTCCTTCGCGATTTTATTGTTCATCTTTTGCTTCCTTGCTACGTAACCTTGAAAAAACATCGTTCCATCTCAAATGGCTACTTCACAATCTCAAGCTGGCGACTCCATTAGTTTTGATGACTTTCAGAAACTTCTGAGTCGTCCATACATAACTCCGAGTTTTCTCGCGCCCGCCGATGTTGAACGTAATGAGTTCTACCTAGGTCCTTTCTTCAACAATGCAGAGGCAGTTGAACAAGCGGTGGTGGGTCAGCTGTTTCCTTGTACTCAAGGCCTTCCATTTTTGAACTCTCTACCGCTGGGGCCACTTCGCGAAAGAGGTATTCGCACTTAGCCTAAATCTGATGTAACTTTCCGTAGGTGGCATGCTCGTCTTGTTGGCCATGGTCCCACTAAAGCACTTTTTGATAATGCTAGGATTTCTGATTTGCTAGAAATCTCTATTCGCCCCCTACTTTTGATTCTGCACTTTTTTCGATTGCTTTGAGCTTTTGGTCTTCCGAGTATAATACCTTTATTTTCCCTCTCGGCCCCATGTCTATTACTTTAAGGGATGTTGGGGCCCTAGTGAATCTACTACCTTTGGGCGATACCATTTTTCCTGGTATCTTGGTTTCTGGTGGCGCCCCAAAGTTTGGTAAAAACTACACCGATTTTTATTCAAGCCTATAAACCCTTCACAATCATTCGAGCGCTGATCCTTCTCATACTGAGCAAGTGGCCTTCCTTCTAGTTTGGCTTTGTAAATATGTTTTGTGTGTGCCAAGTATAAAGCCCTCCCTGAGTTACTTACCTATAGCGCACGAATTGGCACGTGGCAGGCCTTTGAATTTATGCTCTTTGTTTTTGGCTACCCTCTATAGAGGCATGGCCTCTCTTCAAACTCAATTGAAGGATGGTGCATCTCCCACTGACAGTGGACCTCTTTGGTTCACTCAACTGTGGTTGAGATCCTATTTTCCATTGCTTGGTGCTCCATCGATTTCTCGCTCCTTTGCTAGTTGTTATGGGTTAGCCATGGAGCCCTTGGCTCCTGTAAATATGTCCAGAAGGGACATTTTTTTTCATTCTTTTATTCTTTGGATTCAATCTCTTCCTTTTTTTCTTTTCCTCCTTTTTTGACTCCAAACTATGTACATCCCCCCTCCACTATAGACAGCGCGAGCACCTCCCTGCTCATTTGGATCCAGTTTTTAACCAGGAGGGAGCTATTTCATGATATCTTGACTGGGACCAATGCCAAGGCAGGGGTAGAAATTTATGCTCCCCAATTTTTTGCTTGCCAACTTGGTTTCGGTCAAACTTGGCCTGTTCCTCCTTGCTATTCAAGGAACCTAATTGACCGTTTTCATACTATCAATAAGGCGGAGGCAGAGGCTATAAATGCTCGCAATCTTCTTTTAACCAGCCATTTTTCATTAGCTCCTTTCAATTCTAGCCACGCCATTCACCCTCTTTTTGAACAACTCTGACCGTCGGTGAAGCGCAGGTTATTTGCAACTGACGCCAATCGTGCCTTTCATTCATTAGACCAGCCGAGCATTTCTACTCCTCCTCCTGTTTTGGTCACTCCTTTGTCTGTTCGGAGTCCTTCTCCTTCTCGTCGCACTAAACAGTCTGCTCGTCCATCTTCTTCTCTCCCTACCAAGCTTACTACAGCCAAGAGTGCCCCAAGCCGCAAACGGCCAGCCTCAACATTTCCCATTCTGGAGGATGATGTTGATGATGATGATGATGATGCCCCTCTTATCGTCAGGAGAAAGGTAATTAAATTGGTTTACTCAAAAGCATAC